TGCTGGCCGACTGATGCTCCTCACCATGGTGTTGATCCCAACTCATGTAGCTTCTGAAACTCTGACCGTCGGACACGGGAACAGGCGCAGAAACAACTTGTTGAACGAAGTTTGGGACACGGAAGGTGGGCGGAATATCACGGGCTGCGAGGGAGACGCAGCAGATCCAACCAAGCTCGGTGCAACACCAATGCCGGCAAGCTTGGCCTCGATCTTTCCAAATCGACGATCAATCGACATGAACTGTTCACGGTAACCTGCAAGTTGTGATTGCACGAAGTTTTCAAGCTCAACTGTCCGACTCGCAAAACTCTCAGCCAATCCACGCAACCTCTGAACATAATCTGCACGATACTCTTCAGACTTTCTCGCGGTGTCAAGCTCAATTCCATCACATCGCACGTGAATCGCCTGCGTAGGCCGATCCGTCTCGGCAAGCTTGGACAAAACCGCACCGGACTGATCACACAGGCGGTCAATCTCGCGCTTCATGGCGTTGAAATCCTGATGGTTCACATCGCCAATGAGATTACGCAACTGACCAAGCCCGTTCCCGAAACGACCATTCATCGACAAAAGCTCGGACCTGGTAGACGCAACAACTTGATCAAGAACCTCCCGGGTTGCAACATTCTCGGAACGCAACATTTCAACAACATATCTGACGCGGTCAAGCTCAGACGCATCAAGCAAACCATGCGATTCAACCGAACCAAGATTGTAGCCAGTCACGGGAAGAGCCTCAGGGGACAAGGTAAAACGCTCAACATTCCCACGCGGTCCGGCAACGGGAGTGATAGCACCACCGGAATCATGCGCAACAGCAAGCTGATTCTCGGAACACGGCACACCACAACCACACGGAAAGCCATGCTGATCAAGAGCACCTTGGTCCAACAAAGGCAAAGGGGACGGCGGCGCAGGGTAAGCTGAAGACAACACGGAAAGGTGACCCAAGGATGGCTGCACAAACACGCTCATGTTTGGACTTGCAGCAACAGTAGGGCAAGGCGAAGCAAGCAGGCGCAGAACACGGCGCACTAGCAGAAGCCAACACGCCAAGCGGGTTCAACGTCTCGCCGGCTAAGTGCAACGAAGCTGCAGGCGCAAGCTGCCAGCTGTTCTGTCCTGAGGGTAAGGGCGGGGCAAGCGCGCGCGGAACAGTGCAGGCCGGAGCAAGCGACGCGGCGGAAGCAGTCCCACGTCTATTCCCATCAAGTGTCCCGGAACCCTGCTCTCGCAACCTGTGCTCGGCAATCAAGGCATCAAGCTGCTCGTCAGCGGACACGGCAACCGACGGGATCTCGCAAGCCATCACGGGAGAAACGCTGTTTTCTCAACACAAGCACGGGGCACCACGGATTGCCAGGAACGCAAGGGATCCAACAACTAAAGGCGATGCAACCGAGACACGGGACAAGCAAGCAACACGCAAGTACAAGTCCAACCGCGGCACAGAGGCTATACGGCTGATAACCTGTGAATTGACACAGGATAACCCCAAGTCAACAGTCACAAAGCTACAGTGGCCGTACCCGGAAGGACAAGTACACACGGAAGCAACGCTAGGCAAAGCAACCCCAGAAGCAGAACCTGACCGTGCACCAAAGAAGCAACCCAGTCCACACGGAGATCTTTTCCTATGTGGGGCGCTGCTACAGACTGTCCACGGAGTGGCAGTACTAGACGGTTCTTGAGGTGTAAGACGGCAGCAGATGTAAACAACTGGCTCTACACAAGGCAAGGTAGACATGACAATTCACATATTGTAAATGTAAATGTCTGTGGTCTTTGCATATTACCTACACCATCTTAACAAGTGCTCTCCAAGAGTCTGTTACTCTAGTAGATGCAGTGTGTACTTATGCTCAAGCTCAAGGGGACTTGGACGAAGGCCAGGAAGCTTGAACGAAACTTGTCCAGGGTTCATGTAATGGGTTGAGCATACATTTTCCTGCCTGTGAGGCACTGGTAACGTTTTCTTTCAAACCTTTTATCCGTTCTTTTGAGCAAAAATGATGTGTGCTTTACGTATTCTTGAAAGGTCGGATACGTTGTTCTTTGCGTGGTGGGAAAACGACCCCCCGACCCACCCACAAAACCATCCCTTCCCTGCTGCCTGGCTGAGAACCCCACAAAAAATGACCACCCCCCATACCCCTTGTTGCACGCTAACACGTGTAAGAAACTCAAGCTAGACCTGAGGGACCTTTAGATGACCTGCCATGGAGTATCAGACAAGCCAGGCTCCAGGCACTCGAATCATCCCCCCACCAAAACATTTCTCTACGATTGGTAATTCCACATCCAAGCAGACAGCTGGCACAAGAAGTGCAATAAGGCGAGCATGAAGCTTGATGGTGAAGCGCTACCAGATCTGATTTCTCAATTTCTTTGGCGTCACCTTGTGCAACCTGAAAAAAGACTACGCTGTTGTTTAGTTTAGCCATGTTTGGCCCTTGTGTTCTGTCCGGTTTTCAATCAAGCCGAACCTGAGGTAATCTGCAGTGCTGAGGTGAGAGACCCTCCAACTGTACCCTGCTGACCTCCCGGCCACCCGATGCGAGGAATGCTTGCAAATCGCGAGCATCACATGCAAGTAGAACCTGATGTCCAAGGAGAGTCGCATCCAAACGACGTCCAAAGTGAAATCTCAACGAGAGCGCGCCAACAGAGAATGGCAACAAAAGTTGGCCATTTGGGCCACAGGAGTCTTGTGCGGAGCATTGGCTGTTGGCAAGGTGCTCTTCGAGCTTTGGCTATGGGCACAATGCTATTTGATCTCTCATTTGAGCATCAACCGAACTTTTGGGCTAGGTGTTCAAGCTTCGAAAAGCTGCATCAATGTCCATTGGATACGTGGTACTGGTCAGCGCACGAGGTGGTGAGTTTGCAGCTCCCACATTGCTCTAATGTGTCCACCCCGACATTGTTGGCGCAAATCCGTACAAAACTATCGTTCGTTCCCATCATGGGCATTCGCTGGTGCTACAGCTACTGCTCCTCCTGCTGTCACTGAAGGCTGCACTAGAACCTGCTACCATGATGGCTGATGCAGAATCCGTCCGCAGATGTCTCTCGATCTGTATTGACACATCCTTCAGGCCTTCGAGCGAACTGTGCAACAGTTGGCGAAGCCAAGATCAGCCTCCACAGACTGGCATCCTGAAGTCCAGATAACTACGGTAGGCTCCAGGATGCTGCAGCGATTCAAGCTCAGGAACTGGCAACCGCTGACTGCCTCAGGAGGTCCAACGCTGCCGACTTGCAGTCCATTGCCTTTGACGATGCCCATCGTCACATGTCAAGACTGCTGCTTGCAAAAATGCTGACCGTCATAAGTATCAGAAGTCTATGAGCAGCTCCACGTATGCAGTGGGGTGTTCCAGGCTCCCATCATGCCCACATCAAGCTGCAATAAAGCTGGATTTCTTCAAATCCAAAAGCGCTCCAAGATGTGCTGTGCTTGTGCGGCACAGGCCTCTGCTGGCCTGGATGTTCCTTGAAACGGCAAAAACATGCAAACCAGGAGAATGTGGCTTCCACAAAACACCACAACGCCTCGTCTAGACGTCGTCTTTTTCGCTTTCTGAATCATGCTGCCTTAGCTGAATGAAAACTTTACAAACTGAAGCTTGGCAAAACAGATGCTAAAAAGCAAGAAATGTCCCGACCTGACCATACAGCAACGAAGGCCTTGAAGGCAAACAAAATGTCAGCAGGTTTGTCAAGACTCGTCTACTTGCATACTTTGAAGTGCAACAAGAAAGCAGGCAATGGCAGGCGCACCTGCCAGAGCACGACCTCTCAAATAATTGAAACCAAGAAAGCTGCTGTATCCTAAGACCTGCCATGCCCAGTTCAATCCTACACAGAAAATCGTTTCCCAACGTGTTCTTTGTGTCTGAAGATGTTCGCACAAGCTTGTTTCGAGCCAGAAACGTAGCAATTAGGTATTGGGAGTGCTTTTTGTTTTGATATTCAGGGTGATCAACAATCCCCACTGCTTGCGCCGAGCCATTATGCCCTATACGAAACTTTAGCACCCCGGGGCCATGTTTCTCAGGCTATCGATTACACGTCGGCCAGCACATCGAATTCGTGAACTTGTACGCCTAGTCGCTCAGTTATTGCATGGAGTCAAGGAATTTCTGAAAACAATGTGGTCGAAAGTAAGAGCCATTGTGTACTTGTTGGCTTGGCAAGGCTTTTAGATCCAGCTTTGAGAGCTTGCTGCCGATTTGTCTGAACCATGGACGGCTCCAAGGCACAATACAATGAGACAATGAGTTGTGGGTGAGACCCGACTGGCGACCATCTTGGTCTCATCTGCATGACTCAGATGACTCAGGCACGCCTGCCAAGAGACGTAGCAGGCATGGCAAACCCAGTCGCCACTCTCCCGCAGCGAGGCATCGAGGCTTGACATGAGTCTCAGTTCCTGCTTACATTAAGCATGGCCAGTTTCCTATGGTCCTTTGAAGAAACCGTCTCCTTTCATGTGGCCTCCAAGGATGCGCTGTCAACTCGGGGGTGCAAAGTCGCAGAACTAGTCACCTGCGTGCATCCCGCGCCTCCCTTGAGTTTGTCAAGTTTGGGGCACACTTAGGATCAGGCCAGGTTCATTCCTTATCATAGCTGTCATAGCTGCAACACGCTCGACAAGAGCATTGCTGGCCATCCTTAGGCCTTCCCTCCGTGTCCCTGGCATTGGATGTCCTTCTTCCGCCGCCTTCTCCGATTCCTGTCAGTCAGGCGAATGACATGACATGGCTTGGTAAAACTCCTGGCAGACCCTAACACCCATGCAAGCGGTGCACCTTGCCCCTGCTTGGGAAATCCTTTTCAACCAGTCGCTTCAGGAGTCACATGCACATACACACATGCTTCTCAATATTGCTGTTGTGCCTTACAGAGACGGGTTCTACTTCTTGCACGAGCAGTCACATGTGAACTAGGCGGTCAACCACGCGGTCTCAAAGGCAATGCGGGACAAGCTTTCACCATTGGCGAGCACCAGCGCTGCCAGAAGAGGAAAGGCAGCGTCCAATATTACAACCAGGGACGGGTAGGTCATGTGCCAAGAACTTGCAGCACGCGAAGGCTCTTGAACCGGCCTTCAAGGACTGCACCACAGACTTTGCCGAGATGGCCCTGCGCCATTACAGCTGAGCAGTGCATGCAAGGCATTGATTCACAGCTTCCGAACGTTCCTCAAGTAGCCGATCAGCCGCTCATCATCTCCACTGCTTTTCTCCTATGCCAGACATGCTACTATCTGGTTACAGGGAACCCTGGTGCTTCAAAATACCTCGAGAAAGTCGATCCTCTCGGCCTGTCTTTCACGTGACATGGGACGCTCCATCTCAGTGAGATGGGCGGAAGCGTGCTTGCTCACTGTCTCTGCACGCAGGATGCGCCTCGCCCTTGCCGTTGTCGCCCTACGCAAGGCTTCGGAATGATTCTGAAGCAAAGTTATCGGGCTTTCCACGTTCAATTGTCAAATGCCTCGCCCTTCTTGAATTCAACCTTCAGCCGTTTGCCGAGGATCTTGTAGCCTTGGCGTGGAGATTCACTGCCGGGTTTCGCGGCGAAACGATGCAGGAAGCACAAAAGAAATAGCCAGGAAATCCATGGACTACGACTACGCAAAGCCGCCTGCACCTACACTCACGACCTTCATTCACTTGCGGCTGAGTCCCTCGTTTGAAATTTGCGATTTTTCAGCGGAGCCTCCAGGCTCAAAAATCCATTTCGGATTTGTCCAGGAGAAACACGCCCCGATACCGGAAAGAGTTGTTTTCTGACACGGCCCCTTTGGTGCTGCACGGCTGCCAGGGGAGCCAGGTCTACACAGCGGCATAAGAAAGCTGGTGGTTCGGATTCGTCGGATTCGGATGTGGCAAGGGCCAGGTCCCATTTGATGACTTCGAGCTGGGAAGCCTTCTACAACGCGAGAAAGAATGGGCGGCTGGCCTGCTTTGCTTAGGGGCTTAGGGTGGCGACTCAGCTCCTTCTGCATTTAGTTTATCATATGTGGCATTGTCACTGTTTGTGCTGTCGAAGAGCGGATGCACCCTCAAACAAATATTCCAAACACCGCTGCCTGAGCCCCATGAGTGTCTTGCAAAGGACGGGCCCTGCCATGGCCCTGGCCTTGCATCTTCTTGATGGCTGTCGCCGCACTAACGCGATCCTGGTGTTCAGCATCGTGCCAAAGCGAAGTCTAGTGCAGCAAGAAAATTCTGAGCCTCATAGCTCACGAAGCCGAACCCTCTCGAGCGGCCTGTCCCGAGTTCCTGAGGTAGAAACACGCACCTGCCTAAACAAGTCAAGCATTTGGTCGTCAGGTCCATCTGAGGCCTTCATCACCTTCGCACTGACAACATTCCCGTGCCTTGCAAAACCAAAAGTGCATCATCATGCCCGCTGACCGGCTATTAGAGTGACTGATTTGAACATCATCTTTCAATGACAACAGCCGTTGAGCAAGCCCTCTGCTGTCAGCCTTGTGCGGACCTTGATCTATGTTAGTATTGTTCGCCAAGCTGGCAGTAGACCCAAGGTCCGCACGGGGCGAAGTACTCGAGTAAGTCATCGTCAGTCCAGTCCTCAGAAGCACTTTCAATGAGACTGACAATTCTCGCTCTGAACTGAAGGGTCTTGAACCTGAGGCTCCGTCATCTGGCAGATGGAAAACGAAAAGATTGCAGCCGGGCGGACCGAAACTTGGCTCCTGAGCAAAGGGCAGCCGTACTTTGAGAGCGACGGCACGCTCAATTCTAGGCATCCGTCCTTCGAGTTACCTGCGTCTGCCTTTCCGCCTGTTCTCCTTGGCTTCACATGGCGCTTCAACAAGCCAAATGAACGACAATGAGCTGGTCGCCGCCGGTCTCGTTTTCCTTTGCCATCTGCTTTACCTGCAAGCAATCCACAAGCTCACCGAAGAGCTTGAAGGTCAGATGGCCTTCATCATGCCGGAGCTTCTTGAGTTCCTCCTGCAAAGGTTGCCAAGACAACAATCAAACAGCATACCAGGCCCGGTCCCTGTCGCCATCGCGATCTCGAGGCCTAAGAAACTCAGAAAGCAGAAGCTTGGCGGCAACAAATATGGCATTACAGAGCTTGCGCGGGCATGCAGATTTCTGGAATTGGAGCACAGGCCCGCTTGCGAAAAGAGTCGGGCTCTAGCCCGCGTAATTGACATTGGCATGAGCCTGCTCCTGCATTGCTTGAAATTTTGTTCCTGCCATCTGCTCCTGTTAGTGTCGCGACTACTGACTTAGGAAATTATAGAATGGAAAATAGCGTGTTGTATCCTGCACTGCGGGCTTCCAATCACCAATTTGAGTTTACGGGTTTAAGGTTTAAGGGGATGGTTTTCAGTTTAATTGTAGCTTTGAAGCTTAGAGTTCCAGGCTTACAATATGGTTGGCTGGGCGGGCAGCTAGCAAGGCCCCCCACTATTCCATGTGTTTGGTATCACCCCACCCTCCCGGAATCTCTTGTCATTTTACATTTATACCCATTTTGCTTCCTGAGCTCGCCACATGCGCGCGTCGCCGAAATCAAAGTCTATGGATGCGTCCCAATGCTCTTTCTTTGATGTTAGATCCTTTTTGCACAATGGCGTTGTGGGTTGAAGCACCCGTCAGCAGTGCTCATGGGATGGTTTTGGGGTGTGTCTTGGTTTGCTCAAAGCCGAGCATGGCTAAAATTTAGGTCCCCTTGTGTGTCTTCGAAAGTGCCCATGACAGGCACCTGGGAAGCCAGGAGGCCCTCCTGGACACAAGCTCTGACCTGAAAGCCTGAAACACGTTCTGAAAGCTGGCAGCACCTGCACTGCATACTGAGCATGCATGCGGACCTGTGTGCGTTACCCAGGCCAAACCCAATCAGCTACATCTCTTTGGAGGCTCTTCTGCTGCCAGCGCACACCATTTTGACTGAGATCTGTCCAAATGATGCTTCGGAAAAATGGGGTCCCAAGTGCGCCGATGATGTTCGCGTACGAAGAGGGCGTGCATGTAACGGAGCTTCATTAACACAAGTGTGCGGGGGTACGCCTATGTTTCGCGGCAGAAAGGTACATGGTATTACATGGTGTTCGTGTTCAAGTTAAGGATGCGTGGGATAAGGGGCTGTCATATTGCGCGCTCCATGGCGTCCATAGCATACATTTCACCACGTGCTACAAACATCGTGGTAGTCTGTTCGACGGATCTTTGTCAGTGATGCCTGAAATTAAGATGAGGGTTTGTTCTGCTCGTGCTGGGGCTGTGGCCTTGCGCAGGTCAACAATCTTCTCTGCTCAGCATGTTGCTTTGGATGCCAGGGTAATGCTGTTCCAAAGCCTTGCTGGCACCAAGTTGACATTCCAGGTTGGGATCTGGAAGCAGCTTAGGATTAAAGAGTGCAGGGCTTGGGGGCATGGAACGCTGGCATTGCATCGCATGCTTCTTCCGGACAGTCAAAGGCATGTTGCTTTGTCATGGTTCTTGCATTCGCTGTGTGGCTGCCTTGGTGTTCCGCACCCGCATTCTTCGATCAGCGTTGCTGTGTGCCGAGTGTTTGATCACCTCGCTCGCTCTTATGATGAAGGCTCAGGCTGCTGATGGGTCAGCTCCGAAAAAATTGTCATAGGTGGAAGCTCTTCACCGGGACTTGAGATGGGCGGCTCAGGTGGGTTACTTTGACTGTGAACTTGCTCGCACGTCTCGGTTTGAGTGGGTTTAAGCGGCCAAGACTGACATCTGATTTGTGCGCAGAATGCGCAAGGCAGTATGTAAGCATGTCCAACTCATGTGCCGGCAGTAGCGGCAAGGTGCTGTGGAGATGTGCGCTGCGGCGGACGTTGCACCTGTGGTTGACGTTGAAAGCCGCGACGGTCGGTTGCGTTGCCCTGTTTGTGAGAAGGCCTTGGATTATAGGCGGCAGCTTGCCACACACGCTAGCCGAGTTCATTCCGTGACGTAGTGTAGGTTCTTCGCTGGCCGTTCGAGCATTTGTTGTGTGGCGCACTTGGGCATGTGGTCTCAAAGGTGTATGTCGTTTCTTCAGGTCAATTTCCATTCTCTCTGCATCGATGATGTCGAGGAGCTTGATGCTCGCTGGGGACAGCTCATCAAAGAGCAGAGACGTAGGGGACGCCCTAGCGATGCAGAGAGGAGGTTGTACCGGTACCAGCATGCAAGTTGTCTCCCTGGTAGTATCTTGTTACTTTCAGCAGGGATGCAATTGGTCATTACCTTCACTGTAGGCGGGATTGACCCTCGGAAGCCAGAGAAAAGAACAGAACAGGGGGGTACCATTTTGGGTCAGTTCAGGGAGAAGAAGAGAATCAAGGCCTCCAAAATCCAAAGTAACGAGAACATGACTTTGTGCAGATTCTTCTCATGACCTCGAACATCATCGGGTTTTGGAAAGAGCTTTTGGGAGGGCTGGACAGGCCGGCCCATACCTTCCTCAATCTCGACTGAGTGGATCGCTTCCTTGCTGGGTTCTCATCCCCCGGGCATGTTGCGCTGCACAAATCTTAAAGGCTCTGGAGTTCTGATCCTTCCTCACTCCGCCAGGTGAGAATAATGCTGCCTAACTGATGTTGCTTCTCTGCTCTGAAATTCAGCTGGCAGCTTTGACTTTCGTGCTGCACTATGACTTTAGATCGAAACTGTGGTCGCAGACGGTACTCCGCTTACATCCGCTTACTAGTGGTCTCCTGGTCCTATCCCACATGAGGCTGTGCTCTTGGGATCCTATTCGTATGCTACCCCCGCTTACTCCCAGATAGAAAGACCTGATTAGGGCTTATGTAAGCCTAGTTTGGGGAGGCGGAGTAAGGGGGGTGTAGTACAGAATTCCATGATGTGCGGCAGAAGAGCTCCCGAAGCTGAGCGCATCCACTTGAAAAAGCTGAGGCAGCAGCCCAGGCGCAGCACCTTCTTTGTGCTTGCCTGCCTTGGCATGTGAGATCATGTTCGTGACTCCTGGATCCTGATTTTTTCAGGTTCTGACGTGGCCACCAGTGCTGGAAGTGCTTCCGCCGCCCTCCTCACGTGGTACAGCCAAACCCTCGCGGGTCATTCAGCTCTGCTTGTCTGTTGCTTTGCTTGCTTTGCAAAATTCGCTTGATTCGCTTCGGGGGCTCGGCTGGGGAAGGATCCAGCTCCGAAGGCCGCTCCCACCTCCAACAAAAAGAACACAAAGCTTCAATTCCTCAATTCCACTTCCACTTCTTCAACAGCCGAGGGTGTCGCTGTGTGAGACCGGTTTTGGCATTGTAGTAGTACTTGGCACCATCCTTCCAAACATAGAAGGCGAGGCGCTGGAGAGTACGATGAGATGCTCTGAGCAAAGCTTCGGACTCTTTTGCTCACAGAAGCAAAGCGCAGAAAATGACTTCACTTCAATTAGCGCGCTGCTTCTGGCCACTAAAGAGCCCGCTTCGCGTGTCATCTAGCCCATCTCGATCATGCACCTTCGAGGTCGAAACATGTCGGGCGTAACCCAGCAAAGGACTGCACACGGAATCACACAGCGCATGTGGCAACTGGGGCTGCAGCGTACTCCAGTCTCTTGTCACAAGTTCTCTCAAACTCTTCCACCTCTTTGACACACCTTGGTCATTCTGAGCACTGAGCAGGCTCCAAGAATGGAAAGCAATTCGCATCCCTCGGCACCTTGAAAGATCGCCTCCGTTCTCCTCGATGCAGACTCGCAGCGGCCGCATTGTGCAAACAATGTGGCCTCCAAGCCACTGCAATATTCCTACTTACACTCTCTATACAAGTCGCTTAGCTTCAACAGCTCTACCGGAGTACACCGACTACACTGTACGGGCTGCCAGCGCACCAACCCACACGTGCAGGCAGCAGCAGCAGCAGCAGCAGCAGCAGCAGCAGCAGCAGCAGTCAAGCGCAACCTGCATTGCATTAGACTTTGGAAGCCCCGGGCTTTTCTTGAGCTTTGCAGGGTTGGACTGCATCATCCCGCCGCCAGCTCCGCTTGCCATCGACATGGCTCCAACAGGCGAGTGTTTGAATGAAAGATGGGGAAGCACCAGCAGCTGCCATTTCTGGGCAAGCGAGCTTTATCTTCAAATGTGAACAATACTACCGGCTCTTGCATGAACTCTTCTAAGCTCTGCACAGCCACATACAGCCACGGTCCACACATCAAGTGCTGCGTACCACTAGCTGCATACCACACTTTGCACCTTGTCCGCATACTCTCTCCAAAGCGGCGGCATCTCCCTCAGTCAGGAGTTGGGGGGCCTTGAGTCAATTGATACTCGAGCTGTCGACGCTAGCAAAGTCTCGCTGGCCATAATTTCGGTGTTACTTGCTGTCTAGAAGTGCTCAAAAAAGGCAAGTTACAGTGCCTTGCACTGCACAAAGGTTGGGTTTGCCTACAAATGGCAGTACAAACGGGCAGTTGCCACTACTGCTCTCGTGACGGAAAGGATGGGCACGTTACCCTGAACCAAGCTTTCATCACAAAATCAGCACACGACCTCCTCACCCGTTGAAGGTTGAGATGAACAGCCAATGGCTAACATGCCTCAACTGTTTCGCCTTCAAGAAAGTTTCTTATCACTGGCATCCATAACAGCTATGGCATACCTAAGCCCAGCACTGGAGGAATGGCTGCCAGCTCCAGTACTGTGCGGCAAGAGCCTGGGGCACACAAGAAGAACATGGACTCCGTATCTTGCAGAAAACCATCCGAGGGACCAGCATCATAGTCGTACATTCCTGATGGTTGGAAATCTGGGGCATTGCTGCTCAGCTGGCTCCGGGATTCCTTGACATCACCTTCACGGTATTCACAAAATTGCTAAACGCTTGCTTTGTGGATTTTGACAACTTGATGGCATGTGAATCTTGCCTGATTCCTCGTAACCTTTCAACAGGAACAAAGGAGCCAATACTCGGCACGAACGCGAATCTAGTTCACAGTGCGCTGCCTGAACGATCTCTGGACGACCAGTCACGACCTTTGCCTTGCCAATCCTCGCCCTTGCACAAGAGAACAAAAAGATGTCAAGACCAAGGCATGCTACGGAAACCCGGGCCTTCTTGGCTTTACCCTTGCTTGACCTGGCATCCTTTGCCTCTCTATTCTCTTTGCCGCGCCCTTTATCCTGACAGTGTGGGCAATGCTGAAACCTTTTCAAGAAGCGGCATCCCCTACCGCGCATCAGCCTCATCTGGCCACCACTTTCCGTCTCCTGCATGTCACAAAGCAAGCAGCTGCTCGAAGAAGTTGGCAGCCTTGCCTTTCCACCCTCCGCGCTTTCCACCTTCTTTGCGACTCTTAGTGCCGTCCTTCGCCTGCTGCTTATACTGTGGTTGCCCAATACGACCGGAACCAATGGCAAAATTGGATAGCTGGGAAGCCTCTTTGGGTTCCCATCGCGCGGCTCCTTCTCCCTGCAGCGCATGTTGAGTCTACATATCCATCACTGCGCGAACCGTGCTGCCTTTCCATTGCCAGCCCGGAGACCACCCATGAGAAGACCTCAACACCTTGCAAAAACATCAAACGTATATGCCTCAATAAATGTCTCTGCGTCCTGCAATGCTGATTAATTCGCACCTCAAATCAGGGGCCATCAGCACCCATGACCCGTGACAACTTCGATGAAAAAGATCATGCATCCAACACACTTAGAGAACACAACAAGCTGTTCCGCAATATCAACGTTCAAGGCAAGGATGCCGCACGAGGACCCAAAGATGATTCCGCAATCTGCGTTGTGAGGTTTGCAGCATGTCTTTCAAAAAATTGAAGACAAGACCTGAAGACATGCCAGTTGCCTGGGCCCCAAAAAATTGAACATTCCAACCCATGACAAAAAAATGGGAATGTGCTGCGTACACCCGGCATGGCTGCCTCATCCAGATTTGCGATGTTGCGATGAAAGTCTTGCAAACTAGGCCCACATGCGCCACATGTACCTTCAATGAAACGGGAAGTGCTCCAGGGCGGATTTATGCATTTTGCAGTCCTACCAAACTCATAAAACGGAACGACACATGGGAATGTGTTGATGCGGGACACAATGCAGAATGCATGCAACACAACAGCAGCGCATCTGTGTTTTTCTCGCGTGGGGTAGCCAACAATGTTTGGATGAGATCTGGATGAGATCTTTCACGTGCTTTGCTAATCCATGTGAACATTCCTGCAAACGCGAAATATCCCACAAGCGTTTGCATTGTCTTATGCCTAACCCATTGGCCCCCAAAATAATTTTGTCGGGTTTGTCCTGGTTTTTTTTGTCGGGTTCGTCCTGGTTTTTGTTCCGCCCAAGCCGCGCGGATATGGT